CACCTTAGAGGTCACAGCGTACCCCCATCCAAACTATCCCAATGTTATGTTGTGGGATCTTCCTGGGATCGGCACCACCAAGTTTCCAGCTAAGAAGTACCTGAAGCATGTTAAATTTGAGAAGTTTGACTTCTTCATCATCATCTCAGACACTCGCTTCAGAGAAAATGACGTGAAACTCGCAAAGGAGATTCAGAGGATGAAGAAAAAGTTCTACTTTGTTCACTCAAAGATTGACAACGATATACAAGCTGAGAGAAGAAAGAGAGACTTCAATGAAGAGAGGACTCTGACAAAGATCAGAGACAACTGTGTTCAAGGTGAGTTCCTGATCACTTACAGCTGAGTTTGATCACTTTATAGATTTATATAATGTTAACATGTGTTTCTTCTGTGACACAGGACTCAGAGGATTAGGCATCGAGTCTCCGCAGGTGTTCCTGGTGTCCAGCTTTGAGCTCCACCTGTATGACTTCCCTCTGTTACATCAGACCTTAGAGAGAGAACTTCCATCAAACAAGAGAGACACTCTGCTGTTCGTCATGCCCAACATCAACCCAGAGATCATCATCAAGAAGAAAAAAGCTTTCAAGCGTCGATTATATTGGTTGGCCACTCTGTCTGCAGCTGTAGCAGCTGTTCCAGTTCCTGGTCTTTCTATTGCTGTTGACCTTGCTTTGCTGGTTGGTGCTGTCACACATTTTGTTCATGCGTTTGGTCTCGATATCCCGTCTCTGACGAGACTTTCTAACAGAACAGGTGTGCCCTACGCTGATCTACGTGCTGTCATCATTTCACCACTGGCTGCAGCAGAAATAACTGCAGGGCTCCTCATGAAGGTTGCGACCCAAGTGGGACGCACAGCTGCATTAATTGCAGCAGAGGAAGTATCCAGATTTATTCCGTTTATTGGAATCCCAGTAGCCATGGGCTTCTCTTTCGCCACAACTTACACAATTCTGAAATCGATCCTCAACGAGCTCGCTGATGATGCTCAGAAGGTGTTTGAAAAGGCTCTGGGTTTGAACACATCAGTGTGAATTTAAAAATTAAAGATGAATGAAACTTAAGAGTACAAATGTAAATAGTTTAAATCATTAAATATAAATATATTGAAACCAAATCATGTTGCAGCAGCATATTTGAGCCATTATCCTACTATAGCTGATAAATGTATCAGAGGCCTCAGCAGGTCTCATTTCTTCTCATCACATCGATACAGGAACAAATGTGATGTTATTATTCAGATAAAACCTGCTAGAAGAGCTAC